GCTGCAGCCACAAGAACAGGAGCAAAGGTCCAATGAGTGTCTTCATGCTTCTTCCAATTGGGACCGGCAGTCTCCAGTCAGGAGAGCTGCTTCTGTTACCAAGTTATCTCTTGATTTCCTCCAAAGCACAGTGGTTTCTTAAACTGTCTACACAGGCATCTGCTTCTGTCTGTAGCTAACTCTTACAGAGTCAACCAAAAGGACCCTTTCACATATCTACATTAGCAGAGATGCTCTGCCATCTTGTGGTCGGGTCCCCATCTGCTAAACCAGCTGGTCAAATCCTCTCATCCTGTATCTATGGGAGACTGACACAATTCAACATTCAACAATAGGTTGAATAAATTAAGTTCTTAGTTTGTCTCCAGTCAGAAGTTACTGGATTCACAGAAAGAAAACGTAGTGTAAATGTAGATTTCAGAATTCCGTCTCATCTCAGCACAGCATAGAGTCATTTTAAATAAATTTGAAGAAGTTACATGTTTTCCACGTTTTTTTCAACAGGCTTAGTCTACTGGAAATCAGACACATGTCAACATATAAACACATAAGGAAGATGTGGTGTATATTATATAATGGAATATCATTCACTCACGAGATGGAAGGGCAGCTTGCCATTTACTACATGGATGGACCCTGAAGCATTATGCCAAGTGCAATATGTCAGACAGAGAAAGACAAATGCTGTATAATATCACTTATATGTAGAATCTTAAAAAACCAAACTCATAAAAAGACAGTTGAATGGTGCTTATCAGGAGCTGGGGCCTAGGGAGAGATTGTTTAAGGGTACAAACTTAGAACTAGAAGATACGTAAGTCATGGAGATCTAATGCACAGCACAGTGATTATAATAAAAAATACAGTATGATTAACTTCAAAATTGCTAAGAGACTAGATCTTCATTGTTCTCACCATAGAAAAAGAAATGATACATGACATGACATGGTGGTAATCACACTGCAATATATAAACATATCAAACCAAATTCTTGTCCATCTTAAACTTACACAATGCTATATGTCAATTATATCTCAATTTTTTAAAAAACCTGATGGAAGAAATAAATACATCTTCTTTATTAACTGTTTTTATTTGTGTGTAGTTGACACACAATGTTACATTAGTTGCAGGTGTACAACATAGTGATTTGGCAAGTTTAAGCATTATGCTGCACTCACCACGACTGTAGGTCCCTCTGTCACCATGCAACTCTACTACAGTATCATTGACATATTCATTGTGCCATGTTTTATTCCCGTGACTTACTCATTCCATAACTGGAATCCTGTATCTCCCACTACCCTTCTGCCATGTTGCCCCTTCCTCACCCACCACCCCTCTGGCAACATTTGGCAAATACATCTTTTTTTTTTAAGCTTTTATTTATTTGAGAGAGAGCACGCATGCACAAGCCCGAGAGGGGCAGAGAGAAGGAGAGACAGAATCCCAAGCACACTCTGCACCATCAGAGCAGAGCCCAGTGAAGCATGAGATCATGACCTGGGCCGAGGTCAAGAGTCAGATGCTCAACCAACTACGCCACCCAGGTGCCCCTTGATAAATACATCTTGAATGCAGTCACAAATTCCAATACTCACCACCATAACCTTAATCCAGGCTATTACCCCCCTCACCCGAACCACTGCAATAGTCTTCTCAGTAGTCTCCTTTCTGTTTTTGCTCTCTACAACCCATTCCTTCCATAGCAGCAAGAGTGACAACACTAAAACACTAATTAGATCATGTCATTATGGAGCTTTTATTCAGTCAATGGCTTTGACATTACACTTAGAATAAAATCTACACTCCTTATAAGGAAGGACCTGCACAGTCTGGCCCCAGATTACTTCTCCTATCTTTTCTTATACTCCAGATCCTCACTCCCATGAATTAACTAGCTTTGCCTAATTCTTTCTTATTCTTCAAGGCTCTGATTAAAAATCATATTTTTACAAACTTGTACACAAATGTTCATAACAGCGTTATTCATAATAGCCCAATAGCAGAAATGACCCAAATGCCTATCAACTGACAAATGGATAAAAAAATGTGGTATACCTATGTAACGGAATATTACTGAGGCTTAAAAAGGAATGAAATTCTGACACATGCTACAACATGGATGAACCTGGAAGACAGGCTGCAGTGAAATAAACCAGACACAAAAGGATAATTATTGTAGGCTTCCTTCCACTTACAGGAAGTACCTAGAACAGGCAAGTTACAATGTACATCTCTGTGTATTTCAAACCTTGATTCTCTTCTTCTACCCACATACTTAAGTACTGAGGGCCATAGCCCATGTCCAAGCCACTTTTGTGCCATTTCACGTCTTAATGCTTGGAGAGTGGACACAGTAGGCAGAAGAAATATTCCTGAAAGCAATTCTTACACTAGGAATGATTAGCAGAAACTTAACTCTACACAGAAATCACTACAAATCACATAAATATATCTCACCTAATGTAAACTAAATGTGTCCTCAACTCCATCTCACCTTAGCCAGAGTCCCAAAAATGTCTGAAGCCACTCCAACACCACCTAAAACAAGGCAAGGCCTGATATAAGGGTAGTTAGCATGGGAAATTGGTTTTAACCAATTGCTTTTAAAATAACTTCCTTTTGAAATCTTCACATAAAGAAAATGTGACTATATTATAGGACCCCTCCCAGAACTTGGCCTCCACCAGGTTTCATTGGGTCTTGGAAGCTCTTTTTGTCTTTGTGCCATAGTCTTGCCACACACTTCCCCATGAGCCGTTCCTCAGAGCATGGACTGTGATCCTTCTGAAATATAAATTAGAACACCTATTTAAAATCCTTCAGGGGTGCCTGGGTGGTTTAGTTCGACTTCAGCTCAGGTCATGATCTCAAGGTTCGTGAGTCGGAGCCCCATGTCAGGCTCTGTGCTGACAGCTCAGAGCCTGGAGCCTGATTCAGAATCTGTGTCTCCCTCTCTCTGCCCCTCCCCTACTTGTGCTCTGTCTCTCTGTGTCTCTCAAAAAATAAATAAATGTTTAAAAAATTTTAAAAATAAAATAAAACCTTTCAAATGCTTCCCATTACATATAAAATAATATGTGAACCTAACCATAATGGTATAAGGCCACATACGACTGGACCCCTACCTCCCTCTTTGACACATCACCCACCACTCTCCTTCTCACTGCCTTCTGGGAACATCAGCCTTCTTTCACAAATATACCAAATTTGCTTCTGCCTAATGGCGACTGTTGCATTTGAAAACTCTTCCTTACCCCAGGTATTAACACCTTGTGTTTTGTCATTTTCATTACTGAAGGTTCAGTTCAAATGTCACCACTCCAGAAAGCTCCATGACCACTGCGATTCTCCTTCACATTTTATTTTCTTAATATCACTTATATCTTGAAGTCATTTGTTCAATTGTTTCCTTGCCCTATCTCCCCATCGTACAATAAAAATTCCATATGTATGGGAAGCTTGTCTGTAATGTGGAATCAGATATATTCAACCTCCACATGAGTGCTTGTCACATCATGCTACAGAATAAATACTTGTTGGGTGAATGTATGATTTTTGTGCTTTTTAAAAATTTTTTTAATGTGTATTTATTTTTGAGAGAGACAGAGCATGAGTGGGGAAGGGGCAGAGAGCGAGACGGAGACACAGAATCTGAAACAGGCTCCAGGCTCCGAGCTGTCAACACAGAGCCCAATGTGGGGCTCAAACTAGGGAACAGTGAGATTATGACCCAGACTGAAGTCAGATGCTTAACCGACTGAGCCACCTGGGCGTCCAGAGTGAATGTACGTTTGAATGAACTCCAAATGAAATAATTTTGACTACTTCTCTCTTGGGAGAAAGCAGATTCCCGATGGCTGATAGGGCCAAGGTTTACTCATGGCATGAGTCTGGTCTCATTTGTCTACTGGCTTTTGCTGCCTGGGTCACTGAGACTTGCTGGAAATGGCAGTGGGTGCTTTTGTAGAACAGATAACAATAGGGGAGTCATCACTTCATAGAGGACCTCAACAACTAACTTTACCTTAGATGTCACTAATTAGAAATTGTCAAAAATGCTTCTTTATTCATTGACATGTATGAAAACATTCTGCATATTTATCGATATTAATAATTCAATATTAAATAATAATATTAAAATCATATTAAATAATTTGATTTACAGGTTCTTGAAAAGGTAGTAAGAATGTAGGGATTGAGAACATGGGATCTGAAAAAAAAAAGAACATGGGATCTGAGGGGCGCCTGGGTGGCTGGGTCGGTTAAGCGTCACACTCTTGATTTCAGCTCAGGTCATGATCTTGCAGTTCGTGGGACTGAGCCCCACATCAGGCTCCTCTCCTCACTGACAGTGTGGAGGCTGCTTGGGATTCTCTCTCTCCCTCTCCCTCTCTCTGCCCCTCTCCCACTCATGTTCGCTCTCTCTCTGTCTCTCTCAAAATAAATAACTAAACATTTAAAAAAAGAACGTGGGATGAAGTCACATTGCTTCTCTTCCAATAGTGGGTCGGCCAATTAGCAACTTGCCTTTCGAAGTCATTTACCTTTTTACTTTTTAAGCTTCTTACCCTCGTTGTAAAACTGTGGGGGTGGGGACAACACAGTACCCGCATCATAAGGTGTTATGGAGGTGACATGGTAATAAAGGTGTTTGTGTGGTGCTCATTGCACATAATGTTCCCTAAACATTAGCTGCTTTGCTATTATATTTGTTATTCAGGACCTCTAGGCACTAAAAGTCATAAATACAAGCATGACCAAGTAAGACCAGGCACTTTTTTACCCTTCCTAAAAGCTGAGCTACGTGTTCACATTAACAGGTGAGTTGTAGCAGCAACACGTAACATGTGTGGGCTTCACGCCATAGTAACCTATTTAGTCTCTGCTCATTGAAGCTCTAGCTTTGACCCTGAGTTGGACATTTCCACTGTTCACTTAAACGTGACTTTGAACCTTGCCACTGTGTTTAGCTCTCTAAGAGCTCCATGTTAGCATTACAAGTTTATAATTATAGACAGAATTAAAAGACTGACGAAATGAATAACGAAACATAAGGCTGTGCAAATGAAACTGAGACAGGAAGGCTTCCTGGTGGAGGAGGCTGGGCTGGGAGCCCAGCTGCAGTTTGGGGACAGGCTGCAGAGCAGCAGGGAGCACTGTGCCTCCACAGCACACAGATAGGTGGCTGAGTCTTCCTGCTGGGAGGCCCTGATGTGCAGGCTGCTGTGCCGGTCCTTAGTGTTCACCGTGCAGTTCAACCTCCCATCCTGCTTCATCCCTGAAGCGATGTAAAAAAGGCGGGTGAGGCCGCCGCCCCCGGGGTTCTGTCGGAACCACTGCACGTAGGTCACCGAGCTGGAAAAATTGCACCTCAGGGTAGAGCTGGCTCCCTCCTGGAGGCTCAGGGCTGCAGGTGTCTGCTCCACGTCCATCCCTCTCACCCCTGCTTGGAAAGACAAAACCAAACACAAAAGAAGTCACTGCAGAGCCACTGAGGCAGTTTTCAAACCCATAAAGTATTCCCGGGAACACCCGCTGAGGGTGTAGACCCTGCAGGAGCTCTGTGCAGCTCCCCCTCCACTGCGGGCTGTGAACCTCCCCAGCCCCCGTCTGGGACACCCCCACTCACAGCAAACCTGCAGCCACAGAAGCCCCAGCAGGGCTCCCCGCTGTCTCTTCATGACTCCTTGTCTGGTCGCTGACGTGCCTTCACCCCTACTCTGAAGAGTGTAGAGTCTTGGGTCTGCAGAAGTTTGTGTTGTCAACAGTCACCACGTCCCTCCAGAATCACTGAGCACCAATCACACTCGCGCTTCAGCTTCTCATTTTGCTTCTTTACAGGAAACTCCAGCAATGATGGCCCCGCCTTGGCTGCGTGTGTAAGGTTTCTCAGGGGTGTCAATGTGTTGGGGGAGAGGATTCAGGCTGGAGGGGGTAGAGGAAGCAGTAAAGAGAGATATCCAACGTTCCCCACCTTTTTGTCTTTTTTTTCAAAACTGTTTCAGGTAGGAAAGATGGAAAGTTGGAATGGAGGGTAAGGAAAGTGACATGACAACTCAGACAGAAATAGGGACTTCAGGCCCTTGGGTGGCTCAGTCCGTTGAGCGTCCTACTCTTGATTTTGGCTCAGGTCATGATCTCCCACTACTTGGGTTCAAGCCCCAAGTCAGGCTCCGTGCTGGCAGGGTGGAGCCTGCTTGGGATTCTCTCTGTATCCTTCTGCCCCTCGCTCCCACTCACACACTCTCTCTCTTTCTCTCTCTAAAAAAAAAAAAAAAAAAATTGGGGCCCCGCCGAAGTCCGGTCAGTTAACAACCCCATCTTTATTCTCAGCTCAGGGCATGATCCCAGAGTTATGGGATGGAGCCCCAAGTCAGACTCTGAGCAGACAGATCTGAGCCTGCTTGGGATTCTCTCTCTCCCTCTCTCTCTCTCTGGCCTTCCTCTGCAGGCATG